GAAAGCCAATTGTTGAAATTTGCTAGTCTACACGCAGCTACCTTGCAGATTCCGGGAGAACCGCCGCGATCCTCCGTGGCTGTCAAGGCTCTCCTGCGCTCTTCATCCATTCTTATCCGTGCAAGCTAGCAGGAAAACCGTTGCACCACCTGGATTGCCTACCACGACAACCACATCCTTCGCGTCTTGCCAACCTGACCCCATGAAGAGAGCTTATACAGCTGGTCGGGGGCTTTCCGCTCGCGGATCAGAGGTAGCATGTCCGCCAGACTGACCCCTTTCCCGGACCCTTTGACTTCCAAGCAAAATTCATGAACCCTGAACTGCCAGAAGAAGAGTTCTCCACAGTTGGGACATCGATGGTTGAGTGGGGACTGGTACAGGTCTTGTCGCAGAGAGCCGAGGCGTGTGATCAGATCATTCCAGTGTTGGGCAGAGATCGGGGACTTGGGCAGTCGACGGGACCAGAGATCCCCCTCCAGGGCACCAAGCTGGAAGCTGATGCGTAGCTCGGTTCGATGCTCGTTGGGGCAATAGTACATCAGCCATCGCAACGCTTCCATCATCTGCTCAAACTCGAGGAGGTTTAACGAAGCCAACTTGTCGTAGGGTAGTGGATCGGTCGGTAAGCTTGCGAGCGTGTGGATGCGGTACCAAGCTCGCAGGAATGATTTGCGCTGGGCTTCGGTCAAGCTGCTGGGACCTGGAGTCTGAACAGAAAGGCGTGCGATCATCTGAGTTTCGTAGTGTCGCAAGGCCAGGCATGCAATCTCTGCATTTCCACAGAACTGCTTGGTGAGGTTGATGGCCAGCAGATCCGTGTCTCGGATCTGCTCGGAGCTAGTGGCGTCCGGTGGCTGAGCTTTGACATAGTCGAAGGCTTGATCATAGCACGGAATCGTGCGGACGAGGACGGCATAGCAGATCGAAGGCGAGTGTGTCTTCCAGATCGAACGGAATCTGCGGGACGTGCTGCTCAGTGCGGTAGCTGTTGCGAAGCTGTCGGTGGACTTGAATATCTGGGCGAGGAGTTCGGTGGGTATCGCTGGCAGTGAGCTCGTAGACATGTCTGAGTTGAGTGAACATTGGCTGGAATAGATCTGATGTGGAAGTGTCAGTCTTTCGATCAAGAAAATATGACTCGGGATTTCACCGGATCAATTGTGTTGCCAATTTCTGCTCAGCCGAAATGTCGGCCGGTGCTCTCAAGATAAGCATTGATGCTGTTGAGTAAGTTTGACCAAGTTTCACCCAATGAATATTCGAACCTGATGGGGCGTGAAAAAGACAAAGGCTCGGTTTCTCCCTAGCGCAGTCTTGAGTGAGTGGAAAAGAGAAGGATAAGAATACGACAAGCCATAATCTACAGAACTCAATTACAACACGCGACTCCGATCTTCAAGCTCACTACCTCGCCACAGAAGCATGGCAATGAAGGCTTAAATATCTGCTAACTTTTCTACTAGGTCATACACGCCGGCTAGATGAGCGTCCACCTCTTTCCAACCTCAGGTCAACATCATGCCTCCATGATCTCTGTCCCCCCATGACACCTTCTCCATCTCGGCAACTTCTTCGCGAGACATCGATGTTGCATACCGCGCCCGATAGAAAAAGCTGGCCTCAGCTTCCCAGCACCTCGATCGTCCAAATCCCCACAACCACCCCCACCGAAAGCATTCCTCCACTGACCCTGCGCCTCTTCGCCCAGCTCGGTCGCCAAGTATCTGATCTCGGCTGGACTGTCAGCTCACCTTCCTCTAACTTTGCAAACGTCCTTTGCCTGGGCGAAGGCGGCGAAGAAGAAGAAGCTTTTTCACTGGGGCGTGTTGGGGTCGATCATGGGGGTAGACCCTTGAGGTAACAGGAACGGTAACGGCGGAGATAGGTTCAGAGGATATTATGAGGCCTAGAGGGAACGGTTTCGATGGGCTAGAGGAAGTTCACAGGTCATTGCTTTTGCATTCTTCACCCACAGCCCAAGCTGTCGCGGCGTATCTTCAAAGCACGAGATACGTTATGTATCACTGCTTCCTCCCCTCCCCTCCCCTCCATCAATCTGAGTCACGAGCCTTCCACATGCTTCAAACGACGGCCCGGCTGTTGCGTGCGACCAGTCTCACTTTCTGGTCTTCCCACACCTGGTGTGCTTGTCTGACGTCGAAGGAAGTCCCGAAATCCCGGCCAATACTCGATACACGCCTCATTTCCTTCTATCCTACTGGAACTGCGTGATCGTATCGTGCTGCGTGCTCCTCGTTCCTGCCGCTGATGAAGTCTTTGGGACCTCGCATTGAGCAGAGAATGCCGCGGGACGCCGCTCGAGTGGGCACAAATCCCACGCATAGGTTCTGCCGGTAGGAATCGGTAGGTCCTAAAGGCCCGATCGGGTTAGAGACTATCGTTGCGACAGGTGTTGGTGGGAGGCTTTTTTCTTCGTCTATGATGACGGGTTCTCCGGACGAAGGGTAGGTCACGCATACCTTGTCGCCTTACCACCACGGCACCGCGTCTGACGAGGAGGTTTAATCTTGTGCTTGCTCGGAACCTCCATGAGAATGTCTTCGCTGACGTTGTGTTTGCTTGTCCAGTCTCGATCGTAGGGCCGTCCCTCTGCTGACGAAAAGATTTCGTGTATCCAAGCATCCGTATCGATGATCCCTAGGCTGGAATTGGGACTTGGCTTGGGGTAAAGGGCGGCTGATGGGCCGAGGACTGGAGTCGATGTGTTGACAGAGATGGGAGCTGTTCTGCTCGGAATAGGAGCGGAGGAGTGTGGTGGGATAGAAGCATTGGAAGTCAATGAATGTGTCTGCGCATCGTTCGTGAGGTCATCATCGGGAGTAGTGGAGGAAGTCAAGGTAGTAGTGTCAGAGGGCCGATCTGCTAGGACAGTCCACGAAGGAGTCAATGGAGCTCCGGTCCTATCGAAGACTTGATGCAGATTGCTAGGACGCGCCCATCGTCCTGGCGGAAAAGAGGTTGTCTATTACCATGCATACTACTATCAGAGAACGCCCTTTGTGCAAACTCGGGTGGGATCTTACTGCATTAAACGCTTTCACTTCGAGCAGAACTCCCGGTGAGACGACCAGAGCTGTCAGCTTCGTCGGAGTCTGGTAGGGAAGAATCAAGCTCGGCTACCGACGCCTGAGAGCTCTGGAGAATCAAAAGGTCCGCACGGAGCGTCCACTCCATGCGGCTTGCAGTTCCGCAAGGCCGGTGGCACCACGGGCGACGAGGATAACCTTAGCTGTGTTCGCTTATGTCCAGGTGGGCACCTTCTTTAAGTTGTTGAACAGCGTGTGGTAAGTACATGTTTATTCAACTTCGCGATATTGTTGTAAACGTAGTCGGTCGCGTCTGGCGGGAATGATTGATCGGTCACTTGATGATGAGATGTTGAGGTGTGTGAGGCAGTTTTAGAAACGTCAGGATTGATCCGCGTCACACATGGAAAAACAATCGATCACGAACGTGACGGTTCCCCTGCGTTCTGAGGCGGTCTGGTCACTCTCAACATTTCGAGAATCGTCGACCTCACCCGTACCAGAAAGACGAGACTGGTCCGCCCCTTTTGATAACCAGGTCCTTGCGTACTTGCGTTGCTCTCGTGGTACTAGTACTCGGCATCATCAGCATCTGGAACAGAAGGCCGCTCGGTTGGTTGGTTCTTGGTATTCAGATCTGGTGGCGTTTAGGCTGCTCTCAAGATACGGAGAATCATCACCGTCATCTGCATTCTGGCAGAGAAGAGAGAGATCCGGATGTGAAGGCCGTAGAGTCATCCCTCACAGTGGCATCGAGCGCGTCGAGCGTACTGGCATCCGGTAGAAACGAGCGATCAGGGACGTCTTTATCCTTATCAGGTTTTTGAGTGGGTTTAGTCGTCTCCGTTCTGGTGCGCCTCTTGATCTTTGATTTGATGAAAATAGAAGATGTTGTAAAGAATGGATGTGATGTGCGTGTTGCGGTCGGACTGTCAAGATTTTGTGCGAACGGTCACAATGATCGACTGCTAATGATATTGGGAATAGCATTGGGATTCTGTTTGGAAGAAAGGATTCCTACGAGGTATCTCACATACTTGTCTTCTGCAAAGCAGTAGTACTCCATATCCTTTCTTATCTTCTCCAGAAGTCAGGGATTTATATGTTGTATTGCTTCTCCTTGTCGTGCCGAGCGTGCTAGGTTAATCTTACACATAATCTCTTAATGCTCTACAAGAGTCTCTCATCTCTTTGCTCATGAGGCAATAGGCCTTGCAGCGGCCTACATAATTTTACCTACTAACCCACAGCACCGGAGTCGCCTCACTGCCCCTCTTCACAGGCAGTCAATTGCTCTGGAGGGAAGCATCTTTGGTGGGAATACCCCTATCTTGTCTACAGGTTCCACCTCTACACCGAGTCTCATCTTTCCATCATTCAAACATCCTCTACTTGTTCTCTACAAGTTTAAGCAACCACGCGTGCTATCATCCACTCCTTGCTCGTTGCTAGCAGCACGTTGAACCCTAATTGTTTCCGCCCTGGTACGTGTCATATCAAACGCCTTCCTTCCGCCATTGGAGACTCCATTCAACATCCATCGTCCTCGCGCCGGTAACTGAGTGTGAGTGATAGCTTGCCCTTTCACCCAGATCGCGCACAGAACCTAACATTTAGATATCTGGCATGGGTACGATATCAGAAATATTGATCAAAGGTCATGAAGAGAGGCGACATTTCGCAGGTAAAAGCGTTGAGTCTCGCAACGTAACGGATAGGCAGGTTGTCGACTAAGAATGATAAGATGAGGAGAAGAGAGAATGGCAGTTGAAGGCGTTGGGCTTCAATGTTTGTACGTCGAGTTTGGGCTTCGTACCCAAGAGAGACCTGGAAAAGGGCCACAAGTTGAAGGTTGAACAGGGTATGATCCTCCTCATCGATGTAATTTTGGCATCGGTCCAGATTTAATATGATCTAGGAATTAGTATTAAGACTGCTAGGGTGGAATTTTACCCTAAAGCAGTATTCAGAATCAGATCGACTATCATACGGCACATCGACTTGAGAGAGCCGAAATTAGCTATCATTTTGACTACCCATACCACCTCAATACTCAGTACTCTGTTCCAAGACATGTAAAGAGAAAGTGCCCGCCTTCCCAAGGTCTTGCACACTATTACGACGTTCCGCCTTGCAGGTCCAGTCTAGCAGCAGGTGTTACATAGAGCCCGTCGGAATATACCGCAGACAAAGGTGAAACGGCGACAGCAATTCCAGCACACCTTACTTTCCGAGCCAGTATAGCTCCCTCGCGCTTTTTGACCCCAGGCGTCAGGATCCAACTCAACACGAAGTTGGCAAGTGGGCCGATGGAGAAGAATGCTAAAGTAGCTAAAGCAAAAGCATTCCCCCAAAACCCCCCGAAAAACGCCTTCATTTCATCGTCGCTCTTCTTTTTCCTAGCCGCTGCGTCTGCCGCTATTGCTTTCTCAGTCTTCGCTATGTGTTCCTCGGTCTTCCTTATATGGGCTGCGTTCCATCGAGGTTGGCGACTCTGCTTATCTGCTTGCAAGCCTTGCCTCCAAGCCGTCAGAGCTTGCTTGAGACGATCCGCGCGCCATTCTTTGTTGGGGTTGTATTTGAGTCGGAATCCGATGCACGCTGCCATCATGACGTCGCGTTGTTGTGGTGTCAATCGTGGCAGAGCATCTTTCGCGTCGAAGCGCAGTTCATCTTCCCATCTGCGCATGTATCGTATGAGTTCATTGGAAGGCTGACTTCTTCTGTACAGCTCCCAGTGGGCGGGGAAGCGTGATGTGGCGGCATTGAATGTGGCCGCCGAGTACGTATAGCAACGATGGAACTCAAGCGCTCGAGGTATCCCGCAAATTTGGAAGCGGAACGACGAGGAGGGTAGTAACGTTTGACGAGGTATTTTAGATCGTGAAAAGAGATCTTGATATGAGCGGACCTGTTGGCTGAAGATTGACCTTGATGTCATTCGCAGAGACACAGGACGAGAAAGCATGGTGCTTGTGGGCGTACTCAACTAACCATTTATGCGTACGACAACATATCTTAATCAAAGGAGGGGGACGGCAGGGCAGGAGCAGCGCGTCACAGCAGGAGAAAAAGAGTTGGATACTTGGCCTTATCCTTTGAGGTTCAGATCTGTGTCATTAGCGCGCAGAGCTGAGCCCGACAGGCTGGCACCTACTATCGCATGTCTCAGAAAAGATTCCATATGCAGCTCGCTCAATCAGGTTCGTAACGTAAAGAGTTCACTGCCGTCTCCCGAAGCAACAAGCAAGCCAGCCTTCAGAAGGGACAAACAAGGAACTGTCTTTTTAAGAGACCGTCGCGAATCTATTCTTTGACATACGAACACCGATGCATATCCATATTGCTTGAGAAGTAATGTAGGGGTGCTCGCGACGCCTGCAAGGGAGTCTTGGTGTGACGCTAGAATTTTCCTGTCCGAGACTAGCTCCATTGATCCGCCCTGAGCAAGAGCGATCTCTTTCTTCACAGGGACACAGTATGATCATGACAGTAGTGGTGTTTACAGATACATGTATGGAATGAATTCATGTGGTGGTGCCCCGCAAACTGAGAAGCCTGGGCGCCAAGACGGCTAAGGGCGGCTAGAGTCGGCCAGCTCTGCTGCCTGTGCTTGGCAGTCTTGCCAATTCCTCACAGCTTCAACAATCAGGCTATTCTCTACGACCCTGTTGACTGCAACTTCGAAGCGGGATCCTGGAAACCATGCGTGAAATCTCATCTCCGGGGGCTGCCTTTGTCCGTCATAAGCTACTCTACCCTCACGCCTGGCTGCAAAGAGCACCTGTCGAGCTTTGAGCTATGAAGAGCATGGGCCAGTCTTTACGAGGACGTCGAATAATCTGCAGACTATGAGCAGCAGCACATCAACGGCTTTGCGGGGGTCGAACCCTCACGCCAGCCGCGCATGCCCTCCACTGGCCCTACAAGTTTCCTCTACAACCCCGCTCCAATGACGCGTCCTCACCAAAAATGGCCCCGAATCTTGCTGTCTGCGACAATCCTCGAGCCTCACTTTCGTCCTCTCTCAAAAGCAGCCATATACCCTTCTTATATCAACAAGAAACGTGCAAGTAGTGTGGAAAAGGCTTATGCGCAGCAAGGTGCGGAAGGCAGGGTTTAAGAGGCGCGATATAACTATTTGGATGCTGGATGCCGGAAGTGGACTGAATTAATGGACCCACAAGCTAAGCGGGCGAAACAAGGAAGCTTCTGCCGGAGCTTCAGCATCTTCGTCAGCCCTGACTACTGATGCTTGCTGCGTCTCGTCCAATTGGGACCTGTTCATGTTTGAGCCCAAAGACACTAGGCTCGGGGGGCTCGACAACTTGCAGCATTCCTTGAGGGTGTCCGGGCGAACATGCCGAGTACGAGGAAAGGTTCCAGCGCATCGAGCGAGGGGAGGTATTACTGGATGCATTTCATGGAAGTACAACTAAACGTTGTTCATGGGAGTGGGGATCCTCTGTAAGGCTTAAAACTGCAGAGAGATGACAACTACGAATGGACGGATGGTCGCGTACCGTTGTTGCATACGATCCCCGACGATCCTAGGCCGTTCCTCCCTGGAAGGTCCTGGAAGGTTCGAGGCAGGTACTGTCGATCCTCTCTCAATTCGGCATCTTATGTCTCAGCCGTCCATGAATTGGGATTCTGCGTTGGATACACTCTTCGAACCACTTTCGGTATAGGTGAAGAGATTGCAACTACCTAGTCAAGGAGGCCTGACCGTCTGCAGTCTTAGGAAATATCCTCTTCTTCCCAAGTCTTCGGCCTTTCCACAAGCGACATGCGCACGGGCATGGGAACTAGTCATTAGCATGTTGGACTGGAAAGATCAGCATCGGTCAGACACGGTCAAGACTTGACGGAAGGCAGATTGTTCTGTCAGTCTTATGCTCAAGCGTCTGGCACCACTGCTGCTAGGAACAAAAACCATGTTCAACTCAAGCATAGATTCGGACTTTTAATACGATTCTAGGAGTTTATAAGACATCTAGTGATGAAACGAGGCTGAAAGGACTTTTTAAGTTGGCGCTGACAGGGCACTAGAGAGACCATTCAGTGTTAGCGCTTCCCCGCAATGTGTCCACAACGTCCGAAACGGCCGTGCTAGGAACTTCCGTGCCTCTCTTTTTGACACCGTCTTTTCAGCTTTGACATTTCGCTTCGCAGATTCGACTTCAGGGACTCAGAGATCGATCCCTGGGCCAGATGCGATTTGAATGTCCGCCCTTCGTACATCTGTATCTTCAGACCCAGCAGTATCTGCAGCTTTTCGCTGGTTATTCAATAATCCCGCTCTTTTGGTTTCCTTCGCTGTCACCTTTTGCTCTTCATTGGCACATCTCGACTTTTGTAGGAATGCTCTGGTAGATTTGGCTCTTTACTCTCCTCGTGTCAGACTAGTATAGTAAAGTAGTACATGGATGTTCGCTAGGAACATCTTCGCAAGCTCTGCCCGTCCTAGCTTATCCAGTCAATGAGCAGATCAATTACCCTGCTAACAGTTTGCTGGAAAATTAGGCGACATGGGTATCACTTGGTTCGTGGACTTATAGACGATTCTGGTACTTGTCTGTCCAGCAAATTTTAGCTTCGATTTTAGGTTACCGGTCTCTTGTTCTTCAGGCCTAAAAATTTTGACCACCTTGGATACGCTCTACAGTTCTCATGCAACACGAATATTGGATTCCACTAGCATTGAGATTAGCGAATACATCTATTGCAGTCGGGATACCGAGCTGTGAAGTACTTTATCTGGGACGGAACTTCATTCATGATTGGCTCCCGAAGCGGGGTACCAGCGCCTGTGCGCAAATAAGATCCCAACAAGTAGGGAAGGCTGGGTTCAGTGTTGAGTCTAACGAATAAGCTTGTGAACCACGCGGGTTGGAGATGAGCTGGACCGCCAATCCAGAAATTCGTACACCGCGTCAACACCAAGCAATACTATGGCGATCAGGGTAGGAGCAGATGTGCCCAGACCGTGTGCAGAATGTCGCATATATAATCTCCGACTTTCAGCTGTCGGGGAATTGGATCCTTCAAAGATCCCGAAGATCAATTTGAGTACCATCTCTATCCATTCGTTTCCTCTCCTCAATGGCTTCAATCCTAGACCAGCCTCTCATTTTAGGCGAGAACCTCTCCCTGGACCCTCTACCACAACAAGCCCCTACCGCAACATCCCCAACAGTCCTGATAGTAGGCGGAGGTGTCACCGGTCTCATCACCGCCTGGGTCCTCCTCGATCGAGGTTACCATGTCACGGTCCTTGCCTCACGCTGGGCTTCCTTCACCGACGAGCAACGGCTAACATCTCAAATCGCCGGCGCGTTGTGGGAATACCCCCCAGCAGTCTGTGGTCAGCACACTGACGCAATCTCCCTGAGCAACTCAAAGCGTTGGTGTATGGTCGCTTACAACATCTGGGATGAAATTGCCTCGGACCCTAATCGCGCGGCTATATCCGGCGTCCAGATGAAGGGCTCAAACTTTTTCTTCCCATGTCCGCTGGAGGAAGATTCCAAGCAGCTTCTAAAGATGCGCGAGATCGAGAGTAGTGGCATCCGCGGCTTTAATCGTGCCCCTAGTTTAATTCAGAGGCAGGGCATCGATCCCAGGTATGGAGCTGTAGATGCTTACGAGCACCTAGCTCCTATCATTGACACCGACCGTGCGATGGAGTGGCTCATGGTGCTCGTGCAGAGCAAAGGCGCCAAATTCGTCACCGAAACCATCCACGGCGATCTTTACGATCAAGAAGATGAACTCCGAGCGCATTTCGGAGCCGATGTCATCGTCAATGCTACCGGCCTCGCTGGCCAGGAATTGGCTGGTGATAAGACCTGTTTTCCCCTTCGCGGGGCTCTCATTCGAATCATCAACGACGGCACCGATTTCCCAAAAGTGGAGAGCTCGCTCGCAATCACTGCCGATGCCGCTCACGACAACGAAATCGTTTTCATCGTGCCACGGAACGACAACATCCTCCTCCTCGGCGGCATCGCCCAACCCCACGAGTGGAATTTGGACCTGACGCTGGACTCCCCAGAAATCCAGCGCATGCGCGCCCGCTGCGAAGCGTTCCTCCCCGGCCTCGAGTTCGCGCGGACGGACCCCGACTACCCCCTCGCGCAGGGCCTGCGTCCGGCCAGAGAGCGCAATGTCCGCGTCGAGCGCGAATTGCGCCGGCGACGCGTGATGGTCCACGGACGCGAGAGGATGGAACCGAGCCGCATTGTGCATTCCTACGGCCAGGGCGGGGCGGGCTGGAGCCTATCGTTTGGATGTGCGGCCGATGTGGCGGGGTTGGTGGAGGACGCGCTGCATAACTTGCCGGCGAGGGCGATGGCGGTGAGTGAGAGGTTGGACGTCGAGGATGTGCATGTGCAGGCGCAGCTGAACCAGAGCTGGTTGAGGGATGAGGTGGGAGGGAGGAGGGGGTTGGAGGTTAGGGCTAAGTTGTGAGCGGTGCCGATTGTTCGCTTATTTGATGTTACATTTCGGTGCTGTGCAAATGGGCTACGCCATGGAACATGTCACCTCGCGAACTCGTTCCGTCTACGTTTCATGCACTTGTTTTTCAGAGAGGGGATTATTCAGACTCTCAGATCTCTTTTCGCTTCCCACCACGTCCATCGCCCTTCATCCATCGAGCCACCTTCCGTGCTGGTGGGTTTTCCGGGGATGAAAAAGCTTCAGGATCACACTTCAACTCTTCCCTTCCCCCCACACCTTCTCCACCACCACCAACCACACTCCTCATCTAACGTTCATGTCCTGACTCATCCCCAACATTCGTAAACTCGCAAAACACATCCACATCCACCCCCTCCCCCCTCCCCCCCTCCCTCCCAGGCCCGAAATTCCCATCCTCACACAAAACATCCAACCTCGCCCGGACCCCCTGATCCGTCTCACCCCCCCCCTCCTCCTCCATCCCCATCTCCTTCCCCCCCCCCTCCACACCACCGGCACCCTTCTTCTTCTCCTTCTCCTCCTTCCCCTTCCCTCCTCCCCCACCCCCACCCCCACCCCTCCCCGCCAATCAAACAACACCCTCGTCGGCACCGCCTCCCCCTCCCTCGCCCCATACACCCCCCTCAAAACCCCTTGCCCGAACTGCCTCCCCTCCGCCTCCACGCTCTCAAAACAGCCCATCCGCGCCCCCAGACACCCGTCCAACCGTTCCAGCGCGCCGCGCATCCACTCCGCGCTCGTGGCGCCCGCGGGGGCCCGCTCGGACAGCAGCGCGGCCAGGAGGGTCGGGGAGGCGATTTCGGCGATCAGGAGGCGGGCGAGGAGGGGGGTGGTGGGAGGGGTGGGGGTGTGGTTGTAGAGGTGGGAGGGGGTGGTGTTGGTGGCGGGGGGGGGGGGGCGGCGAGGAAGGCCCAGTGGATGTCGTCGGTTGAGGTGGAGGAGGTTGAGGTGTTGTCGGTGGGGTTGTGGTGGAGGGCGATGTAAAGGAGGCGGGGGGCGGGGGTGGGTGGCGGTGAGGTGGGTGCGGTGGACATTTTTTTTCTCTTTTGGGTTGGGTTGGGTTAGGTTTGGTGTGGTGAGGTTGGTGAGGTTGGTGTTTGGGGGTTGTGGAGGGAGGGGGGAGATTTGGGGGGGTGGTATGGGTTTTGCGGTGTTGCTGAGACGATGGGACAAAACTTCGTTGACGATAAAGATGTTGTGTTGCTGGGAAATTCTTATGCGTTGAGTGGGTTTGCCTTCGGGAGTGTTTGGGTTAGATGCGAGAATAACAAGGGTGAGTACTTCAATAACGGCGAGACCACGTCAATGGTTCCGATGATAACCCAGCGCTGGATTAGTTGTGATTGTTTTGGTCGGAAAGGTTAACCCGATCACTTGAGACGACAGTTCAAGACCTGTATGCAAGCAGATATTGCTATGTTTTTAATGTGCGGGTGTCTCAGAGATTGCAAGATGATCACATAACTCAGGTCAGGTTTGCAGCTGCTACGTGCTTCAGAAGCATAAAAGCATTAGTTAGAATTATTCGCCAGTAGCACTCTCATTGAAATCTCGTCCTAGCGCTAGGCTAAGTATACTCTTCAATTCTGGCATCAGACCTCATGCTCGATATCCGCGACCCTAGGAATCTTATTCAGGCGAATCCTCGCAAAGGCGGCAACCATCTCAATCTGCAAGGCCGTTGGTAAATGAGGATAGTTTCGATGCAAGGGTGGACAAATACATACGCATTGCTGAACTACCTCAACATCTTCATGGCTTACGCCCACACGCCGCGTTCCTCGCAGATGCCACCCCGTTTCCCGCTTCAGGTTCTGGATCATGATACCCGAGAGAACTACCATTTCTGTGTCAATGTCGTCGAGGATTTGGCGGTCGGAAAGGTACAACCCATAAGTGATGTTTGCGGAGATCCAGGCTTGGAAAGCAGGATGGTCAGCAGTGGTTGTCAGGTTTGGAGGGGAAAAGGTAACGGAAGCTGTACCGAAATCTTTATGGGCGGCAAGAGAGTTGATCGTGCCGGTTCTGTTGTGCTTGTAAATTTTGTCAAGCCACGCGACCCCTCGTGCATGATTCTCAGGTCCGGATTGCCAGTTCTCTCTATAGCGAACGTCAGCGTTGGATTCACCTGCGGCCCCAAGAATATTGCAGACCGTGAGAACGAGTAATCTTTGTCTTCAGGTTTCTGCACTGCATCGATGTTAAAGATCGCCTCGAGGGGCCTGCAAACTCCAATGATAGACACGCTTTTGACAAGCGCTTCTCTTAAGCGACGAACAAGAGCTTGTCGGGCTTCGGAAGTAGCATAGTGCGGTCTTTCGACCAAGTATGCGTATAGGTTTCCCGCAAATTCGGGCTGGCCTCCTCCCGTGAGCGCAGCAATCTATGATGGCATCAGGCCGAGGCTTGAGACAGGCCGAAAAAAGTTCTTACCGCAACGAGATACCATCTTTCTGCACCCAGCGTCTTGGAGGGAAACTTCTGCTCAAGTTTTTCGAACAGGTCCTTCACTTCGTCTGCCGTAGGCTCTTCTGAAGAGCTCATTATGGTCGTGTGGTGCTTTTTGAGGGCCAAAAGTAGAGTTCTGGAGGGCCTAGGTCTTATTGAGAGCAGCGGATTGTGCGGCTGTCTCAACGTCTTTTGCAGATGTCTCAGCATTTGTCGTTGGCACCTGGGAAAGACGGTAGCAAAGTCTTTATGCAAGCTTACATCATGGAGGTCGATCTCCAAGACTGGGGTTAACGGCTTGAGGGATTCTCAGCTGAGTAACATGTCTCGTAGGAGCCACTTGGAGCGAATGGAAATTCAGCACTGGCAGCCTGGAGAAGCTTGCAATGAAAACTTCAAAACCTTTACTGTCCGTTATCTATTGAAGGCTGACCGTTGCGGTGTGAACTAGCGGTAGAAGAGGATACAGTGATTGATGGACGACGGAAGAGCGCGGGCAGAGTAGAATTCGGAATTTAGCGCTAGCTGTAACTTTTAACCTCTTTTCCAGTATTTTTTACGAACTTGCCACAGGGCTGAGCGTAAGGCTGGTGCAAAACTTGTACAACTGTTTGGCCATAAGGTACAAATGCTCGGACACGGGGAGACAGGCTGATCTTGACGCTCGCCAAGAGTTTCGCAGCGAAATTAAGCAAGTAACTCCCCTGTCTTTGCTTACAGACTTTGACTTCTGTACTGTATTTACCTGGTAATGTCGGGATTTTGAGCCCACGAGGCTACGAGCCGACCCATCCAAGGCTACTGCTATTGGCGGCTAGGTGACCGGGGTAAGGTAAGATCTTACGGACTCTCAGAGTCAAAGCGTTGATGGATCTGCCACTCAAGGACCGCTCATTCTCAGAGATGGCATTTTCGACAAGGTAATTCTTCTAGCAAGGGAGATTAGAGGATCTGAAGGCGTCTCTTTCTTTTCTAGGGAGAGCATCGAGCAAATGCATTCTTTCAACGCATGATCGAATCAGACAAAGGTACGAGTATTTCATTCGGTCATCTCAAGAGTCGAGGTTGAGATGTGAAACCTACTAAGCAGTCATCGATGGCATACGCTTGGGATTTATCCTGTTACAGAAAGACAACAGCCAAACAGAATTGAACGCATATGGGAAGATACATGTGCAGCTCAATGAGAAGAGTACATGCAACAGGATAGAGAATTCGCCGAGTCCCGCAGGAAAGGCTGCAGCTGATAGCGCCGCTGACGTGGCTAAAATCGCGCACCTGCGCAATCAGAACCATAGAGTAGCCAGACCCTGTCCTCTTCTCTCCTCAGCTCATAGCTATTGCTTATCATCTTTCGACCAGTTGGAAAGCTCAAACTGTCCTCCGTACCCTGCAGTCATCTTCTTGCACGCCCCCTTCCGCAGTGCATGCAGCTGCCAATTCATACCAACGGGCTCTACATCCTAGGATACTCCTCACAATGCGCCTCACGGCCGTAATCCTCGCAAATCTCTCCGCTTTCATCGTCTCTGCTTCCACCCTGCCCAAGACGCCTCCGGCTCCCTCCCGCCTGAACATCACAACTATCGCTGCTGCCAGCGACAAATCAACACTCGAATGCTGGCAGCTTAGCGCACCTTTTGTGCAATCGAGCCAAGCAGGTACATCTGGGGCTGTGATCGCCCAATTGGGCGAGACAGGGGCGACGAGCTATTCCTTGATACCATCGCAGTTCGATGGCGGTTTCCATAATGCCCCTGTCGTGCAGTATGCCATCCGTTCCTTCCTTACATTCCCATGCCTACACCTCTTCCGCCTTCTTCCCTTCCGATTCCCATCGGTTGTCCGAAACAACTAGAAGCTAATGAAAGTGCTCCGGATACATTAGATACGTAGCTTTCACATCGGGCCTCGCCGTCGTCTCCCTTCCAAACTCTACTCGAACAGCCACTATCCCCGGTGGCCGCAATGGATTGATCCTAGCAACGGACACAACAAATGTCAGCACGCTGGGCCACAAAACGGTGTACCCGAGCAAGGAGGTTACGGTGGGTATACAGATACCTACGAGGGATAACGAGATCCCCCTGCATACGGTGCTCCATGCGGGACCGTGTACGAGGGGGGAGATGGACCAGTGATGGGCATCATGTGGCATAGCTTAGGACAAAAAAGAAGAGGATCTTCAAACCAATAGCGATAGAATATAGGCATAAGGGGAGATACTGAGTGCTACTATAGATCGTCTGAATGTCGTTTGGTGTCCGTGTCCAAAAGGAAATCGTCTATGCATCAATGGCGCAGCTTATGTGAGCGCGCAAGTACTAGTACATGTGCCTTGAGATTTAGCACGTGTAAATTACTGGGGTAAAAAGGTATACGGTGCAGCTATCGCAGTCGTAACGGAGTAAAGCGCGCCGCAAACCAGTTGTACTCCCACCCTAGATTGGACTAATATGCTGCACAAGGGTGACCGAATATTCAGGGGCCGGTAGGGGCCGTTAGAGCTTTCGAGTCACTAGAGTGGCGCGCTACTCCTTGCAGATATCAACTTGCAGTCAGTAAACTCCCTCCGCCCCATCCATTTTGAGGCGGCTGTGCAGAAACCGGACTATGGTCCGCTGAATCGAATTCTTGAGGGTGTGAGGCATTTCCTTCCATGCCTGTCAAACATTCCCCTTGATGCACTCTCGGTTGTATACGTCACTTGCCCCTCACGACGTTCAATTGTTAAGCTCTTCGGTCGTACATATCATTCGTACACATCCATATTCGACGCCATCTTACTGTCTGAAAGAATGTGTAAGGAGCGAGGCATTTTCCTCTGTGCGGGGGCTAAATCCACCTTGGCACGGAAATACTCACCAATGGACGCATTGCTGATCGTTTAGATAGGTCCATGCAATGAATCAAGCCCCTCGTTGCCCCTCCATTGTGCCTCTACCATTCATGCCTATATGTTGTACTGCACGAGCATTCGAGGCATTCCATCCTATTTCTTTAAGCAGAAAACATAGCCTTGGACAGGGAAGGGCAGTCCGTCTGCCATGTCGGTCACGCGGAAGAATACATGCAGCTAAATACCTCACTCATGACTTTTAACACTTTGACTCCGCGCATCACCCAATCACGAATCATCTCAGTATGCACGATGACCAAACCAGCATCCTCCAGAAGTCAAACGCTGATATTACACCCACTCATCGGGACATCCCATTGCGGACCGGCGGCCGCAAACGCCTTGGACTGAAGTCAAGTGAGCCATGCTTCGTGTGTGAACAGGGACTGTAGCAAGTACATGCACAAGTATCCATTGCTGACATGCATACTGCTTTCTGTCGGCGCCCGTAAGCTCCTCTTGACCTACCTCCTAGATGCTATAGCTTTAGTCTCATTCGCCTTTCGTTCTTGATGCTGCTCTTAGCATTCTCGATCATTATATGCCGATGTTTTCCTCTAGGAGGATTGCTATCTTCTATCACTGTAATCATCGTTGTCTTCATTACTCTAACAGCCCCATCAACTCTCAACTCTTAATCTTCTATTCCTTTGGTCCTCATAGCTCATCATGGCATCCCTCACTTCCGACCCGTATCTAATCCCAGCCATGAAAGCCCCGCCAGGCCTTCATTCCAACCTGATCGATCCACCCTCGACAGGCTACTCGACCATCATCATCTGCATTCTGGTCATCGTTCTCTCAACTCCTTTCGTCGTACTGCGTATATACACCCGGAAGTTCATCACTCGCCAGCTGTGGTGGGATGATTGTTCGTGTTCACACCATGCTGTTGAATTATTCGAGAATTAGGCTGATGCGCTGTGACAGGGTGCTGCGTCCTGGGTTGGATGTTCGAAATCGCACTCACTGGTCTCCTCTTCAAAGCAGTCAGCTATGGCGGTGGTACTGATCTGTGGAACGTGTCCAAGTCAAAGTATATGCATTTTACTAAAGTCAGTACTCTATCCCCCTACATTGACTCAATAGAACAATAAACAGCAACTCCTCGCCCATGCGAGGATAGACTGACATCCCATCATGCGTAGCTCTTCCACGACATCGAAATCATCGCCCGAATAGGGATGTTCTTTACCAAAGCTTCCATCGTCCTCCTCTATCAACGCTTATTCCTCCCCCCTGGTACGGGGCGCTCGCATATCTGGTGGAGGTCAGTACACTTCTCAACCCCTCTCTTGGGCTGATACAAAACTTATATCGCAAGAATTGCATGTTCGCGAGAGCAGACACCTTTGATCCCACACAATCTCATAGTGCTCCGGAACGCCAAGTCTAAATGGAGAATACAACGCTGACTTCGAGCCCTACTCTAGCATCTGGTTCGTCTTTTACTGGAACCTTCTCTACGCGCTCGCCCTCGTCCTAACCGTTGCGACCGAATGCGTTGGCAAGGCCGACAAGGTTGCAAGGGGAGACCAATGCCTTGATGAATACGCCGTACTTATCTGCGCTAGCGTCATCAACGTTGTGAGCGATCTTATGATTCTGGTTATTCCGATCGCCGCGATCTGGGGACTGCATATGGCCAAGGAGAAGAAACTTAGGTTGAGCGCGGTTTTTGCTGTAGGGTCGCTGTAAGCTCGCCATTTCCTTGTCACCTCAGATCTACCGAGCGACAAGCGAGCAGGGCATGGGTCGGATATTGTAAGAGGAGCGCTAACGTGTGATACGATACTGTAGAGGTGTCCTAGCCAGCGTCGCCCGCTTAGGCTACCAAATCCCCGAAGCCAAGAAACCGAATCAGACTATCATTGTCATGATCTTAACCGAGTTGAAGTACGCAATTCCACTACCCTCTCTGAAAACTTCTCCTCCCCACCCATGCTGACGAGACCGCCCCCTACAGCATCGTCGAACACATGGTTGGCCTCATAGTCTCCTCCATGCCCAGCCTTCCAGCCTTCTTTCGTCACCTCCACGGCGCCGCCCCCTCTACATCAACCTGGTTCGAACCTTTGAGCCAACGAGAAAGCAAACGGTCGTCGGAGAGAAGTGTCCTTTGGTTTAAGAGGAGCCCGAACCCTGATCGCGGTCGGGGCGGGGCGGGGATGGGGCTCGACGACCCATCTTTGCTCTATAGTGCCAACAGCGGGCATGGGGATGCTGGGTATGAGGAACTGACGGACTTGGAGGGCCAGAAGGGGACGCGGACTAAGCGAGAAGGGCTGGAGGAGTTCATGGAGAACGTGGCTACGACGACTGTGGGGGTCGAGAATAGAGGAGGATGAGTGCGACGGTGTCTGGAGTGCGTATTGTATTTTCTTCTGGGTGGGACTGATAGGGTATAAGTTAACTTTCGCACAGGGGAGATGAAGGCGAATATGCAGAGAGTATCATCTGTGGTTCAACATCGAGGTTTAACACCCTCTCTCCCCCCAAATCCTAGAATTATCCACCGGCCTGTTACGAAGCCATCTCGTGCTCTACCACCAAGGTGATCGATTCATCGCATCCGTCCTCTATCTTCGGCCGCTACAACGGTAGCATGAGACATTGTATCAGCACAACGATCTGCGTCAGCGAAACTGGACTATTTTTGCATCGCCGCTGTCTCCATTACCAAGACAATACCGAAGCAAATGCGGAGTAATTGGAGACGATAACCGCACTCTTCGCCTCTGCCATGCATGTTCTTGCTGAGCGTGGGCGTGTCGCTTTCGTGTTATGGCGCTTGAGCATTCTCGCTTAGATCTTCGTTGACGACATTCCAAGACTGCGCATGGATGAAGCAGTTTTTGACTTGAGTAATTCTTTGCGTGACTCTCTGCCTTACGAGTCCTGCGAACTGATTCTTTGATGGATGGGCTGTGTGTGGGCTTGTTCAATGCATCGAGTAAAAGAATTTGAGTTGGTCGAGATATGATCGGGAGTCAGAAGCGCACTGTTGTCTGCGGAGGTTCGGGAATGGATTCGTTGGCGTTGTCAGAGGTTTTGCGATTTTGATGTCTTTTGGGACTGCCAAAAGGTTTCTTGGTCCTCTGATCATCCCGCGAAATGGTCTGACAATGTGTGCAGAGTTTTGTAAAACACTTCCCGGGATCCGATCCGTGATGCAGACCTTTCAGTCAGCTCGCTGCTCCCGGCAACATGGTTCCTCCAAGTCGTCCGATCCTGGAAAAATTGTTCGCTATTGTCTATCGCAGAGCCGACAAGGGTTGGAATGCTCTGGATCTCGTTACAGAGCTCCGGATGCACGGTGTTATCTCAGGAAGTCTTGAAGATTTGCTCTTTTTTGTGTTAGACTGCAGCAGAGTCTTTGTCGGACATTTTAGCTAGATCAAGAGTCGCAGCAGTGATGAGGGTCTCCCAGGAACGCTGCATCAGTCAAAAGCTTGTAATCTCAGAAAAAGACAAAGAATAGCGTTGAAACGTGTCTAAGGTTTCCTCATAATGCTCAATGCATACAGGCGTAGAGCGCGCTCGGGGGGTTCTATTATAGAAGAGGATGGGTGTATCCGAAACCCAGATTTCAGACCCATTGCGTTGGTTTTCGCGCAGAAGATATCTCACTCAACAATGTTCAAGATCAATATCCCTCGAGCTCACGTTATCAAACTCTGCGCGAGGAGTTCGAGTAAGGGATGTCGAATAGCCGAAGAAGAAAATCGTGAAACTGAAGCAGTGGAGGGGACGAGTCGCAGTGCGTGGGTGCTTAGATACACAGTCCGAATATATGGCATCGGGTCGTTGCCACTCAACTCCACCTAGCCGGCGGGTTCTCAAACGTCTTTTGCCTTCCTTGACCTATTTAGTTGTTATGTTATTCCTTTCCGAGACTTGTTTGAGTATCGGTATAGAACAATTGAAACCTTTTTCGATCATGCGTTAGACTTGTCGGTCACGGTTGTGAGTAGAAATATGCAATAGGTTTGTCGTGTCTATCAGCCGCGAAGCAGAAACCAGAAGACTGAGACAGATGGTGAGAAAGAACATTGGTGGTGAGATACCGCGCGACCACTCAGCTCGCCTAAATTTCGTACCTCGCTTGGTACTAGTACGTGATATCGTTGACACTTGACAACCGCTCGAATCTCGAATCCTGAAACCGCTATCCTTTGATGTAATGTAAGTAATACTCGCATAATTCATGCCATTTATAAACTACGAGTGTAATTGAGTAAACCCACTCGTTACTAAACTAGGGTTAGTAAAGATGTATGTTTACATTGCAAGATTCCCTCGCAGTTCAGGAACTATTAAAATCTCCATGTATGCAGAACCCGGATTATCTACTATCTTGGTTTGTTACTGTGACTTTTCTCATCTCTAAATGCTATTTCTGTTCTTATCGTCTGTATCTCGACAAGGGAGATGAGAGTTAAGATGATTTGATTGGGGACTGGTGGATGTTGATGTGTAGCACGGGTGTTCGGAGGTGATGGGTTTGTTGGTAGATATAGCCGGCTTGGTCTCCTTTCATCGGGTTTTGTGAGATTTTCTATAGACGCTTGTATTTTAGAGCGGCATATGTAATAAGAATTCTGGTTTTATGTAATGTCGCTTGGGCACAAGATCTTTCACATTTTGAATTTGCTTAGAGGCTTCATGGTAAACTAATATCATATCACTTTAATGCCTTTGTTTGGTCTAAACCACAGCTGTCTAGTAGTTACCGATAACGTCATGTACAGATATATGTGCCTTGAACAGGTCGATACGAAAACGAGAGAAAAGCTAGTGTACTGTACTGTACGACGATTTCCACTACACTTTCATTCCTCATCTCCCCCTTCTCATCAATCTCTCCTAAATCTTTCTCTCCTCCACCCGGACTTTCTCCCCCGTCACCCTCCCCTCCCTCCCCTTCATCCACCAACCCATCTTCACCCTTGAACCGGTTGCGCAGCACCATAACCTCCATATCGCCGAGCCCCGGCACCGCTAACCATGCGTGCAGCACACCACCCCACGAATTAGCGTTCAGAGGAGTACGTACTAGTACATAAGCCTGTAGAATGGAAAAACCACAAACAAACAAAACCAAAAAAAAAAAGAAAAAGAAAAACTCACCAATCCGCAGCCAACAAAACAGCCGCGCACCCCGCCTCACCCCTCAACACCCTCCCCCTCGCATCCTCCACCCACCGCCAGATCAAGACCCCCAAACTCGCCACCAGCGCCGCACCCACCCACGCATTCCACGACCGCAGCACCTTCTTCCCCACCCCCGCCCATTCCCCCTCACTCCCCCTTCCTCGTCACCAAGCCTTATCCTCCCCTCTCCTTCTTCTCCCTCCTTCTCCTTCTTTTTCCTCCTTCTCCCGCCGCGTCTTCCTCCCCCCTCACCCACCGCACCCTGACCCAAAACGACAGCACCCAGCAGAAACAGCGCAGCGGCGCCGTCAGCGCGGACGCCAGCAGCGCGTAGATGGGGAAGAGCGGGATGAGGTCGTCGGGGGCGGGGGCAGCGAGCAGGATCAGGGTTGCGACGGGGACGGGGGTCGTGAGGAGGTAGAGGGCTGTGCGGAGGGGGGTGAGGGGGGGGGTGAGGGGAGGGTTAGGGCATGGTGGGGTGATGCGGGGGGGTTTTGGGGTTGGGGTGCGTGTGGTGATGGGGAGGGGAGGGCTGGGGAGGGATCTGTAGGTGGGTATAGGGTTTGCCGGATGAGGCTGTGCAGACGACGATGGGGGCCGGACCCGTATTCGTGCCATAGTAATTGGCGGCCGCACGCCCTCGTATTTGGAAAACTACTTTAGTCAATATGCTTCAATTAGAAGCCGTGATGAGCTTGAGTATTCTTGGTGAGAGGCATTATCGCTGCTGTCGTCTGGTCTTTATTTAGCACCGGCGTTTGGTTTTGATGCTGTAGGGGTTTCTGGCGACGATTTGGCTTCGAAAGGAATTAAGGCATTGCGCGGTCAACATCCGTTTGGAGATTTCAATGGCAGAGACTATCGAAAAAGGGTTGGGTTGGATGGAGAATGTTCTTTTTCGTTGTAGCTTTAGGTGCAATTCTTACCCCTTTCAAAGAACAAAAACACGTAAAACACAATCAAGCTGTTGAAAACCTACCCACCTACCCTTCAACCCCCTCCTTCCAACCCCTTATCCCTCCCATTCCACCATCAACACGAGACTCAAACCCGATCCGAAAAATAGCAATTAGTCTATTTCAGGAAACCATTAAACGTCAAGCCTGGCAAGCTGTGCGGACTCCAGCCGTGACATCTTAAGGTAGGGTACTCAATGCGTTAATTTACAGTACCGTTTGCACATCGCTACCATATCTCCCTGCATCCCTCATCGCTCCCTCAAATAGTGGGGTCCACATCATCTCATCTCATCTCATCTCATCTCATCCTCATCCCCATCCCCACCCTTCCCATGCCAACCGGCGCTTCAACAAATCCCCCTTCTCCGTCCGAGTATCTTACCTTACTTGCATCAAATCCCGCCGCCTCGAACTGCAACAACGGAATCAGTATCAACAATCCACGACGCGGTTCGGAATTCGTCTCGTGGCGTTATTGTCGTGCCATTCCTAGTATCTACCTAGCTCGTCAACCTTACCCTACTCTACCCTACCTCACCTCATCCCGCCCCCTACTGTATCCCCTCGCTTACCTCACCCCACCCCCTACTATCCCCTACCTCACACTCACCCCACCCCTACTATGCCCTCCCTTACCTCACCCCAAGCTACACGCTATCCCCTCCTTACCCCCCCCACCCACCCCCACACTCACCCTACCTGCTTTACTATACTATACTATACTTCACTTCACATCTCACATCACATCTCAACCACAAGATATACAACATCCAAGCTACACATCAGCCTCAAGCACATCGGCGTCACCTGAACCGCATCTCGGGTTGGAAATGGCGTTTGGGACGGCGGGCTTGGTGGCTGATGGGATGGGATGGGGTTGGGGAGGTGGGGAGGGAAGGGGAGGGAAGGGAAGGGGGCGTTGATGAGGCTGGAGGTGTGTGATGATGTCTGTGTTCGATTTCGATTTCGTTTTTTTTCCATGGAGGTGTGATTCCCACCGCTGTGGCAGACTGGCTTTGCTGTTGTCGCGGGACGGGATGAGAAGAAGAAGGATTTACGGGTATCATCTCGAATATGTGAATTCTAAAATCCTACATTGCAAGCCACCTGATATCCTTCAAACCGACCCAGCCATCGTGCAATCATCCCTTTTCTTATTCACTACATGGTTTTAACCCAAACACCTAGGGGCTATCACACCAAGACAAACGCCCATCAAAACAGATCATCCTGAA